ATACATACCCACACTGACAAACACACAGACACACGACCTTTATCTGTCCCTCTTGCCTCATGTTGGAGACTTCTCAGCTACTTAAAATGTAAACAGTTCTCCAAAGGAAGGAGAAATAAAAGAACAGTCTCCTCCACACAGCCAATTTACATGGGCGTTTCTAGTGACAAGGCTCTTCAAGAGCCTAGCTGGTTAGAACCACTGGAGGATGCCCCAGTGCCTAGGGACACTCTCAGAAACCTGGAATAAGCATGCCCTCTGCTGGTAAAGCTGGGAAATGCACTCCCTGTGCAAGAGTGGCGAGAACAGCTGTGTAAATCCGGGCTGCTCCCTAGTGGAGTGGGATTGCTCAGAGGCTCCACAGTAAAGCGGGCACTGTGGTATTCAGCATGCCATCTGGCTGCCTTGAAAGACGTTATCAGGTTGTCAGAGCTGGGTGTAACTCCACCTTTGCTGCACCTAACTCCTGATCTGAGAGCACCGCCTTCCAGCAGCTTCTGCTCCTGTCCCGCCCCCGTTTCTGTCAGGCACACCTGTGGACCCCCGGTGGCACTTTCAAATTAGCAAGAGGCCCTTGGCTTGGTTTCACCACTAGCCTTCTCATCCCAGGACCCTCGAGGTGGGCAGGCACGCACCGGGCGGAGCTGGAGGGCACCCAGAGACCCAGACGAGTGGCTGCCCCAGGGTGGACTTTGGGAGGCCAGGGGATCCTGAAGAGCTAGGGGTTTGGCCCTCTCAACCTCAGCATAAACAAGACAATAGCATACATGGTGACCTTATCCATTTCTGGTGGGCTCTGCAAAGATTTCTTTGCATCATTGCCCTGGGACCCAAGGACCAGGATTTGCATGTGGTTTTTTTGTCTTCATCTTGGCTTTGTCCAGGATCCAATAGCTTATCTTTGGAACAATATGGTTTGGGGTCTTCTCCTTCCATCTTATGAGCTTGCATTTGCTATGAACCAACACTGTTGTTTATCAAATGTGGACTCTTTTCAGTGGAACAGATACGTTTGAGTCATTCCCCTCCTGTGAGTATCCCCTCTCCAACAGCCCTGCAAGCAACTCCAGTAAACTCATCAGTTCACCGAGGCGAACTTGGGTCCTTGGTGGCTTCCTACCTGGGGTGAGATGGGAGAGAGAATGCTTGGGTGACTTTCGCGTGAGTGCTGGAGCGGGGCTGGGCATCAAGACCCCAGCCCGTTTACTTCCTGTGTGACCTTGGGCAGGGTTTATGACCTCACTAAAGGGAACACAAGCCCAGTGTCCTCCTTTATAAAAGCAAAGTCCAACAGGAACACACCTTACTCCCCAGAGCTCAGTGATCCCTGGCTGCTGTTCATCTCATCAGTAACCGTATGGGACTGCCTAAGCGTGGAGACAACGGGCCCCTCTCTAGAGACTGCATTTTGGTGTCTTCAGAGATCATAGCTTCATCCTCACCTAGCATGGCTTCTGAGTCCCAGGCAGATGTTACTGGAAACTGAGCCCTAACTCAGAGGAGGGTGTCTCCGCGAGAGTGAGCATGACTGTGTGGTGTTCTATGTTGATTTTGACACGGCTTTCTCCAGATCTGAGAAACCAAATGTGGGCCCTAGCGAGATCCTGGGAGAAATGGGGCTGATCAGAGGAAGGTTCACACTGAACACAGAAAAGATTCACCCGATGGTATTTCCATCTTTTAAATTGAGAATCAGAACTGCCCATAGACCAAGACAGCATCCGCGTCTGAGTACATTGTACCCGCTCGTCACAGAGGAAGCAGAAACTACTGCAATCACTTTCTCACCCCAGTAGAGCATCCTCAAGGAGGCTGGAAGCTTCTCAGTGTATTCACTTTCCAGAGACAGAGTAGCAGAGGAAGCCAAATGGGGACTGGGAGGGTGGCTGACACAGACTAGGTAAGGGACGTGGGATAAGTCATGATTTGGTGGCACTGGGCTAAAATAACTGGATGCAGATCTGTAAATAGTCAAGCAAATTCCCCAGACTTCCTCGGTCCTGCACAGCACGTCCTGGCCTCTCTGTGGCCTTTCAGCTCCCTTTTCTGCTATAGGTCTTAGTTGTTTATCTTATGTTCACATGGAACATAGCAGAATGGTGGCGGAGTCAGCTCTCAGTCCCCGTAACAACCCATCCGCTTGGAAGCATGGAGCAGGCTGGGGTGGACTAGGGTGAGGATGTGACCAATTCTGCCCAAAGCTGCCTTCAGAGGATCACACTGGCAGTGAAAACCCTCAGAAATCAGCAAACATCACATGTCAAGGAACTCCTCCCTGGCCCCAGAAGGTCAGGTGTGCAGCGTGTATCAACACCACTGGGTGTGAGTGCACTCTGTCTGCCAACCTGGTTTTTCTCAGGTGTACCAGCATGGAATATTCTTACACTCACACTTAGAGACAGATTTCCTGGACTTAGAAAGCCTCTCACTTTGTCCAGCTCTCATAACCAAGGGCTTTCCTTGAGTCAGGAAGGCGCTGGGTTCACGGGATGCTGGCCTAAGGTAGGTGCCTCCCAACTCTCAGGAACACCTTTTACCCACTGAACAGACATCTCCTTGCATGGGGAAACTGTTTTCAGCTTGGGAGAAGATTTCACACGGTTGCTGTTGGTCTGGACATGCTATTTAGCTCTCCTCGGACTGTCTGCTTTTGTAACCTACAGGAAGAGCCAAGTGGTGAGATTTCCCAAAAAGCTGCAGGCTGCCGACATGTTATCTGGGAACAAAAGCGTGAGCAGTTTCTGACACACTTTCAGGCTAACTGCTGCAGTAGCTCCTTTACTCCACAAATCTGCAAAGAAAATGGCAACCGTGCAGCTGGGGAGCCCTGCTGCTTAACCCTGTCTTCTTGTTTGCAGACACAGCAGCAGCAATCCCTGCAAAAGGCAGTTACTCACTGGGAAACTCAATCAGGGGGCCCAGTTGCATGCTCCCCACCCTGCTTCTCTTCTGGATGCAATGAAAGTTGACACCTGGGGATCTACAATCTGCCAACACGTTCTGGGGTCCTCCGGCAGCAGCACCAGGAGCTGCTGTCTGGTGCTCAGAACTGCCTGGGCTGGTCCAGGGTTTGCCTGTTGCCAGGCATGAGGCACCTTCTCTGCTCTCCCCTGTGGCTTCTCGGGCTCAGACACTTGCTTCCCATGCACCTCTTCCTGCCAGATGACTCACAATACCTTTACGTCCATATCTATTATCCCAGGGATTCAGCTGACTTACCCAGAAAGCAAATGGGTCCTGGGTGTGTGAGATAGTCCACTACAGAGGCAAAATACATTGGGTTTCATGAAATAAAGACATAGGGCCAGAGAGGTGGCTCAGAGGGAGAAAGACACTTGCCTTTCATAGTTCAGCTATGGAGGTTCAGAAAGCCTACCTCATCATTTCCCCAGGTCAAGCAGCCTTCTGTGCATGAATTCATAGTATCTTATCTAGGAGGCTGACAGATACAGAATGTCTATTTACAGCAAGGACCACCACTTTCTGGCAGCAAAAATGCTGCCATCTGCGTGGTTCCTAGAACCTAAGTAAAATTCAGAGAAGCCACATCTGTCAAAATACAGACCCATGAGACAGAGGCTTGAGGGAAAATGTCTAAGTCAGAGACCAGAAAGCCTCGTGTGTCCCCTCCTAAACAGGTTTCTGTTTCCTTAAACTCTTTACAGACTCCCACCCAGTCTTTCAGATTCATGGACACCAATGAGGCACTCTGTTTTCCTTGGCTTTCATTCATGACACTGAGGCCTATACTGTCCTTTGACTTTTGGCTTTCATTCACAACACTGAATGCTGTCTTATACTTTGACTTCGGATCTTTCGGCTTTGATCTAGAAACATCACGATCTTTATAGAAAGTCAAGTTCACCCAGGATGTATGGGCACGGTGCCAACAACAGCAGCTCAGCTGACATTTGCTGCACAGCGAGCATAGTAATAGATACTTTGTTCATTACCTACTTTCTCTAAGGTGTCTGTGATAGGCTGGCCAGGTGAATACTCAGCCCTGTCTTCCAGAGAGAAGTAACTTATGCACTTGGACTTTGTCATCTGGACTACAGAGCAATACTGGCCTCCAGGAGTGACCTCCTCACCTCCAGGGGGCATCTCAATTGGAACCCTGGACTGACACAGGGGTCATGAGCACTTCCTTAGTTTGCATTGTGTCCCTTAGACATCAAATGATGATCTTGGGGGAATACCAACACAAGACAGCCAATGAGAACTCAGAGGCCAACAGCCCCACTCTATGCTCAGAGTGCAGCACTGTGTAAAACATATGAGGTGTGCCAAAAAGACAAGGCACTCAGCACGAGATACACATGAAGTTCTACCCTTTCACTGTAGGGGGCGCCACAGGGGCCCACCGTTCTCTCTCCAGGCTGTCCTGAACTGTGTGAGTTTCCCTATGAATAAACAAATGGGATCATTTCTATAATTTTCTATGTGAATCAGATTCTGGAGGCAAACAAGGCCTTCGGTGTGCACTGATGAAGGAGATAAACGGTGGTTGGATGCCATTTCACTCAGCCGAGCTTCTGATTTCTCGCATATAACTCAAAAATTTTAATGAACAAAAGCAAACAGAAAATTGCTTGAGTTGATATGAACAAGAAGAAAATAAAGGGCCTGGGAAGATGGCAGAGGGCTTGAGTTCAGATCCACAGCTCCCCACACATCTGTAACACCAGAGCTAGACTTGCCAGCAAGCTCCAGGTTCAGTGAGAGACTGAACTCACTGACTCAGTAAAACAAGACGGAGAGCGAGAGGAAGGCACCTGGCCTCAACCTCCAGCCTCCACACATATACACGCGTGTACACACACGGATACAGAGAAGAAGATGAGCATGGTGTGTAACTCAGTAGTAGGGCATTCTCCTCACATGAGCTTGGTTTGCTCTCTGGCCTCACAGAGGAAAAGGAAGTGAAGGAAGCAATCCCAGAGAACCCAAACCTCATTCCGAGCATTCCGATGCCCTCCATTAACCCCAGGGAACCACTGTGCTGTCAACAATGACTTTATTGAGCATCTACAGGGCGCAGAGCATTGTACATAGCTTGATGTGGCCAACCCCTCTGCAACGGCGTCCTTCATTCTTCATCCTGCAGGTTTCCTTCCTGTGCTCCACGGAGCAGGGCAGGTAGCCTCTGCACGGCGCTTGCTGTGATAGGTCACAGCATGGACTGTACCACCTGTTTTCCCCACCATCCCGGAAACTCCTTGTGGATGGAGCTTTTTCCACCTCTGTAACCTTGATGACCGAATACACGTTTGCTAGGTAGCTGGGTGAATGAAGACCAAGGATCCTTCCATTCCCGAGTTTGCACTGGGTGGAAAAGGCACAAAGGCAGAGGGGCGGAATCCGAAAACATGGCCGGCACAGACCGGAAGTACAGTTCTGTGAGTGACAGAGTCCGCCAACATCCCCCAAGGGCCTGAGAACAGAATGAAGACAGGGCTCAGCCTCCTAAACTCCCACCCCAGAACCCCATGTAACCTACTGGGAATGGACCAGCAGCCCAGTGACCTGGAGGACTTCAGAGCCACGTGCGGCTCGTTCCAGTGACTCCCAGGCCCCACCAACAAGATACTCCAGAATGAAGGGTCTCAGTCCTCTAACCTGAAGGATATATGTTTGTCTTATTATCCTTTCCCATATTTAAAAAAAAAGCCACACAAAAATAAATAACCAGACATCTGAATATGGGGAGGGGGCAGTTCCAATGGTTCCCTAAGGGGGCCCAGATGCCATGGGTGTCCTCTTAGGGCCTCTCAGAATGCAAATATTCATTAAAAGGGAAGAGGGCCATATGAGATGCAGTCTCGCGTGGATTTCTCGCATTTCATTAACCTGCCAAATTCAACTGATGATACAGAGTCTAGAGTCTTTGGCAGGCGATAAAATCCTACTTACACTCAGGGGGCACACCTGTGTGATGGGGCTAACAAAATCAAGTCTACAATCTCCTTGTGCCTCTGAGACCTAAAATAAAATACGAGGGTTTAGCCAGATTGCTTCCCTGGCAACTTCTGAGAGTCCCTTTTTTGACCCATCAGTGCCAACTCAAGCCCTAGCACTCCCATTTACACAGAGAAAACTCCTGGCAAATGCTGCTCTGAGTCTTTAAACCGTGGGCATCTACCCGAATGAGGTCCGTGGTCCAGACTCCAAATTACGGTCGCATGGAAGTCTGCAGGCTGCTAGGCCTCTCTGGCGCAACTCAAATAATCATCTGCAAAACTTGGTTCCTGCTCCACTCAGGGTCTCATGTGCCCCCAGCTCTCCCGGACAGCTGATGTCCTGTTCCCTTCCTGCTTTCTTTCTAGACTCCTAGTCCGTACAACTAACTTCCGGCCAACCGGTACAGCCCCCAGGTAAGTCCACACTTGGTCCTTTCCTTCTTCACAGCAACTCTCTGGAACACTCAGAAAAATACTAGACAATCCAGTCCCACTGTGGGAACGCTTGGTTCCCACAAAGCAGGTCTGGTTCCCTTTGTTATAATTTTTAGCGCAAGATTTAAAATTACAAGTGATCGATCAAATCAGGAATAAGCTCTCAAATTTAGCTAGCATTAATGGAGGGCTTATATTTGTTTTAGTCTCAAATACACTATAAAAATAGTGGTCTAAGAGACAAGGATTTTTAAATATGTACATATAATATATTTCTGCCCGACATGGCCAGAATATGTTTCATCTTGTCTATTACCTAGATAGTTTTAACAATCATTTCAGGAGAGAAGTCAGAGTGCTTTATGGTATGGAGGACTCATTTGATGCATTAGATGTCGCAAAATATGAAGTTTCATATTATTAGATTAACATGCAAATCTTTGTGTTTAACACTGTCAACCAGAGATTTAAAGTAAGTCGATGAAGCCTCCCTAAGAATGCCCTCGGACACAGCACCTGCTTACTGCTGTCTCCTTTCCATTCTACACCTGGAGAGACCTGTCTTAGCCTAATGAGGGTTTTATTCAAATTTTATTATGCCATATTTGGCATAAGAATTGTGATTTAGCAGAACTCAACTTTTGGAGAAAATGAAAACCAAACAAGCCCTTGAGAACAAGTAAAGGTCAAACTCGCAGCAGAGGCTGCGTCTGTAGGGAGGGGTTTCAGTGGAGCCGTCACTGGCACATTGCCAGGATTGGTTGGGTCAGAGAGGAACAGAAGGAGATGCAAAGAGACTGGACAGCAATGTTCAGATCATTTGTCTTAAATCTCTAAGAGCATTTGGAGGCACAAGATTCTTTTTCCACCTCTCGTAACTTTTAATGCCATCTTCTCCCCCTTTGTGTTTAGTTTCCTATCAAGCCTGGGTCAGCCCGGGTGTGGTCATAGCACAGGGCTGAAGTTAACACAGTCAGGGAACGCTTGTATGGATAACTGCAGTGGGCAGTAGACCATGACTCCGAACCTACCCTGAACATTGCTCTGAGATCAAATCTAAACTGTGCCAAACTCCTTTGCAGAAAAAGACAACCCATCCCCCCAGGTGAACATAACACCACAGAAACCCACTGTAAAAACAGACCACTCTAGCTCCCTATTGAAAAATAATGAGATTTACCACAACGGACACTAGGATGTGTTCGAGTTATAAAACTCCCCAGAATTGTCAAAAGTAACCTTGTAGCCAACCCGCTTGAAGATACTAAAAACAACCTGAAACAGGCCACCCATGGTGCCAAAAGCAGTGCCACAGAGGAGGGAGAGAATGCCACCCAGGCCCACAGCAATGTCCCTGCACACGACAGGAATGGCCCCCATGGTGTACACAGGGAAACTGGCTACATCCACAAGCACTCGGAGAGGAATGCTCAGAGCCCGGCAGACAGTCTTCAGCAGACAGCAGAGGATTCGCAGAAGGGCCCTGATGACTTTGGCCACAACCTTGAGCACTTTCCAGGGAATGCCCACCAACTCGTGTCCAATGGCCACGAGATAGGACACAGTGGCTGCGCCCAGACGGTACAGACAACTCTCAATGCCGTTTATCACCTGCTTGGCAACAAACCAAAGGAGATGGAATATATTCCTTAAGACTGTCATCACAAGGTAATAAATTAACTGGAAAAGTTTGATGAATGGGGTCAAAAGGAAACCAAGAACGTTCCCCAGAAAGCTGCCTCCTCCCTCTGGTGCTTCTGGGGACGGCAGGGCAGACCTCTGGCTTTGGGCACTGGCGAGGGGACTTGTGCTCTCTTGAGACTGCAGAGACCGCTCCTCATCTTGGACTTGGTTGACCACTTCCAGAATCTTCTTCATCTTCTCTGTGTCTTGCTCCATCTCCCCACAGTTGTCCCGGAACAACTGAGGTTTCTGAGGAAGCAGCTTCTCAAGGTCTCTCACCATAATATCTTCTATGATATCACCGGCCTGGGTGTGCTTGGTGAAGCCCATGGCCCAGCCTCCTCCAGGGACGTCACAGCAGGCTGCCAGCCAGACGAATTCTGGGATAGTCACTCTGCCCTTCACTCTGTAGTCTGAGGGGATGGCACCTGTGATGATGTACAGGTCTTGGCCATCGCCACAGTGTGGGATCAAGGCTCGGTCCATGAGGCTGTCAAGATTCATGTGCCACCGTTCCCGGAAAGACTGGGTCATTGGAACGGAATTTGTGAGTGGGAATGTGGGCATCTTGAGGTCACTGCTAAGGAGGAATGGGTACAGCTGTCCGATTTCATAGTCAGAGTCGAGATAGTCTGCATTCAAGGCTTGCTTGCTTCCCAGATTGTTCACGGAGGCGACAGCATCAGCCTCTTCGATTACCTCCTCAAGGGTGCTGTCGGGGTCATCAATCTGAAAGGAGAAGACAGTGCTGAGATGGGCCCTGCTCACAGTACCTGAACCCTTGCCAAAGCTCCAGGGAGATCCTACTCTCTGCCGTGTCCAGCCCTTGAGTTTTTGCTCATGACATGGTTCTTACACACACACACACACACACACACACACACACACACACACACACACTTCATTCTCGTATCCCTCAGTGCTGGTATTTGAAGGCATCCTCAAATAGGATACATCCTGCTTCATGTTTTATCCTTGCTCCACCCTACACAGTCATGATGACTTCTCTCAATGCATGCAGGTGCACATGGCGAGGCATGCACAAGCATGCACATGCATGTGGCATCGGAGAACAATCTTGAGTGTCATTCCAAAGCCATCTGCCTTTGAAGAAAAGTTATTAACTTACATAGAATTTGGTTTCATTGTGGCATTTTTGGAATAAAATTCAATTTTGTTGTTCCTCTTCCAGGCCTGGGTTTTGTTTGTTAGTTGGTTTGGTTTTTAAAAACTTAAACAGAACAATTGATTGTATGTTATGTGTTTTGTGGGAAGGTATGTGCAGGTGTGTGCAGATGGCACAAAGGCCAGAAGAGGGCATCAGATCTCTCATCAGGCTCCTAGAGCTGGGTTTACAGGGAGCTATAAGCTGCCCATTATAGGGCTCTCGGGAAGAGTAGCAAGTGCTCTAACCACTGAGTGACACACATACACACACACACACACACACACACACACACACACACCGCAGTAAACCTTGTTTTTTTTTGTTTTTTTTTTTTGAGTCACGGCTTCTCATTAACCTGGAGCTCACTGATCAAGCTAGGCTGACTGGCCATTAAGCCGCAGAAATTTGCTTGTCCCTATCTCCCTTGCTCTGGGACCCTCAGCCCAAGCTGTCACACCTGGTATCTTTAATATAGGCTCGGAGATCAAATTCAGGTCCTCGTGCTCATTCTGAATAAACTGTTCTGGCTCAGCCATTTCCCCAGACCTGACTCTTCTTTCTTTTTTTTTTTTTTTCCATTTGCTGAGACTGAGCCCAAAAGATCAAGCGTGGGTCCTTTCAACCCCTATCCTGTGTTATTCTTTTTTTAATTCCTTCCACTTTCAGCTTAGCTGATCCTCGAAGTAATTGTTCCACAAAGCTGACTATGGTTAACAAGCCAATCAATATATGTGTTATATATCAATTATAATATATAGTTGTATCTTTTCTTATACAAGATGCTTTTGTAGTTCAACAGGATAACATATACACACATAGACGCACACATACACATAGAGATAAATGCTAAATAGATACATAGATAAATGACAGACAGATAATATATAGATAGATAGACAGACAATAGTCACTTTGCTAATCCAAAGGACAAAAGAATGCTGGGTTAAGGAATACATTTATTCTTTCCCAAAGTAGACTGTGCTTTGGTTGGAGGACCCGGCCCAAGGTCTTGTGGACTTTCTGCTTACCTTTAGGCCCAGAGAACATCATAGTGACAGTGCTTATAACAACGGGGGCTTGAACAAAAATTGAAAATGTAAAGTAAATAGTAATATATCCCTTAAACATCTCAAACCCTTGGAAAACCGCTTGCAGCTCTTGGAGTTTGTGGCGTGGAAGCACGCGCTGTGATAGTGAAAGCTAAGGCAAAGTGTATCAGAGGTCGGGCTAGAGAGACGGCTGGGCGTGCTGCACGGGCTGCTTTGGCACGGGCTGCTCTGCAGAGACTTAGCTCCCGGCACCCACTCAGTGGTGTTGGCTCGGCCCATCTGTAACTCCAGTTCCAGGGGATCCGGTGCCTTCTTCTGGACTCTGAGTGCACCAGGTATGCATGTGGTACACATAGATACATGCAGAAAAACACTCTTACACACAAAATAAAAATAAATTTTAAAAAGTCATAATTTTGCTTAAAAGCACAAAACTACCCAATCTAAAAATTATCCAAAACACCCTCAGCCCCAGTTGTTTGATTCCTGGAGAGTTAACAGGTCCTTCTATCACCCCTACCAACAAATCAAAACAAATCTCTCCTTGCTAACTATCACCCTAATATTGGAGTCCATCTCCTAAACCACCTTCAAATCTCCAGTACAGTCAAGGCCAGGGGGCTTTGTTGCCTTCCCATCTAGGTCAAGCTGATATGTGTTTGGCCAGCTCTGCTGTGGCCTTTCATAGCGTGGCCTTCAGACATGTGTGTATGCACAGGGCAAGTGCTGGTGAGGACAAATCAGGCTGGCAAGAAGCAAGAAGATCTGATGGAGCCTCCTGGAGCTCTCTGTAGGCTGACCCTACCTTGTCACTCCATCCTCCCCTAGCCCAAGAAGCAATGCATCTAGATGCTCCCCCTACCCACCCCATCCCTGATAGGAGGGAGATAAGGAGCTCATTCATTTTGCAAGGCCTTTGTCTCCATTTTCTTACAGCTGAAAGATACACCCCAGGAAACAGTAGCTACGCTGCTGAATCAGGAGATCAAGACATAGCCAAGCCAGGCTCTCTGGGGCCGGGTGGAAGGGCCACAGGCTTTAAGATGCCTTCCTGGATTCATTCTCTCGGGTGTTCTGTCTGTACTGACGCTGCTGCAGTGTCTTTAGCTTGAGCGGAAGTCCGGAGGTGACTTCCGGTTATCACGTTGGCAGAGCACAGACAGCATGCTGGTGTCTTCAATGCAAGAGCCACCCAGGGATAGACCGCAGGTCTAGGACATGCCCAGAGAAGTGGGCTTCTTAGATGCTGAAGGAGAAAGGCTAAAGAGAGGGGAGAGGAGGGTGAAGAGTAGAGAGGTACAGGGCATAAACGTCCTGGTACTGGGGAGAAACCAGGACTGGCCTGATTCACTTGCAAACTGCAAGCTGGCCCCCCAGCTGCCACAATCACAGGGGCTCCACAGAGGACACTGACTGTGGTGCCTCTGCTTTTGTTCTGGCCACATAGGGGTCACTGCTCCCCACAATTCCAGGGTCTTTGCAGAGCTGGCTAATTTAACTTTTCTTGGGTTTCCATGCATTTTATCCTTCCAATGAACCCATAATTTCAGAAGAAAACAAGAAGCTTTATCTATGAAGCATACACGATCTCCCGAAAGGGGTGCAGAGCCCATAAAGCTGTACCATTTATTTAGGTCCTGTGTCATTCACTGTGAGCATCACACTGTCAGGGGACTGATGGGCTATGGCTTTGATCGGAAGGTTTGCTGTCTTTTGCTTTTCTGTCCGCACTTTCTAGGTACATGGAGAGCAGATATTCTTGCACTACAGTGATATTAAATGGTAAAGGAGCCCATGAAAACCTCAGCAAAATTCTTCACAGACCTCAAAAGAACAGTACTCAACTTCATATGGAAAAGTAAAAAAAACCAAGGGTAGCCAAAACAATCCTGTACAACAGAAGAATCCCTGACTTCAAACTCTACTACAGAGCTACAGTACTGAACATAACCTGGTATTGGCATAAGAACAGACAGGAGAACCAATGGAACCAAATCAAAGACCCATATATTAATCCACACACCTTCGAACACCTGATATTTGACAAAGAAGCAAAAAATATCAAATGGAAAAGAAAGCATATTTAACAAATGGTGCTGACATAACTGGATATCAACATGTAGAAGAATGAAAATAGACACATATCACCATGCATAAAACTCAAGTTCAAATGGATCAAAGACCTTAACATGAAGCCAGCCACACTAAACCTTATGGAAGAGAAAGTGGGAAGTACACTTGAACGCATTAGCACAGGGAACCACTTTCCAAATAGAACCCCAGCAGCACAGACACTGAGAGAAACAATTAATAAATGGAACCTCCTGAAACTGAGAAGCTTCTGTAAAGCAAACGACACTGTCAACAAGACAAAACAACAGCCTAGAGATGGAAAAGATCTTCACCAACCCCACATCGGCAGAGGTCTGATCTCCAAAATATACAAAGAACTCAAGAAACTGGTCATCAAAAGAACAAATAATCCAATAAAAAAAAAATGGAGTGGAGACCTAAACAGAGAACTCTCAACAGAGGAATCTAGAATGGCTGAAAGACACTTAAGAAAATGTTCAGCATCCTTAGTCATCAGAGAAATGCAAATCAAAACAACTCTGAGATTCAATCTTACACCTGTAAGAATGGCCAAGATCAAAAACACTGATGACAACTTATATTGGAGAGGTTGAGGGGAAAAGGGAACACTTCTGCATTGCTGGTGGGAATGCAAGCTGGTACAACCCCTTTGGATGTCAGTGTAGCGATTTCTCAGAAAATTAGAAAACAACCTTCCTCAAGACCCAGTAATACTACTTTTGGGCATATATCCAAAGAATGCTCAATTGTGCCACAAGGACATGTGCCCAATTATGTTCATAGCAGCATTATTTGTCATATCCAGAACCTGGAAAAAAAACTAAATGCCCCTTGATAGAAGAATAGATAAGGAAAATGAGGTACATTTACACAATGGAGTACTACACAGCAGGAAAAAAATAACATCTTGAATTTTGCAAGAAAATAGATGGAGTTAGAAAGCATTATTTTGAGTGAGGTAACCCAGACCCAGAAAGACAATTATCACATGTACTCACTCATAAGTGGTTTTTAAACATAAAGCAAAGAAAACCAACCCACAAATCACAATCCCAGAGAATTTAGACAACAATGAGGACCCTAAGAGAGACATACATAGATCTAATCTACATTGGAAGTAGAAAAAGATCTCCTGAGTAAATTGGGAGCATGGGGACCTTGGAGGAGGATTGAAGAGGGGAGGGGAGAGGCAGGGAGAGGAGCAGAGAAAAATGTAGAGCTCAATAAAAATCAATTTAAAAAAAAAAGAGAACACAGTTAAAGCTGGGCAGTGGTGATGTGTGCCTTTAATTCCAGCATTTAGGAGGCAGAGGCAGATGGATCACTGTGAGTTCAAAGGCATCTCTGTCTACAGAATTAGTTCTAGAACAGCCAGAGCTACACAGAGAACCCCTATCTCGAAAAACTGGAAGAAAAAC